TATTAGGCCATAGAACTGATCATAGCCAAATAAAATATTTAAATGATGGGTCGTTAGAGTCAGCATTTCAATTTTAATCAAATTCTCATGCTACTTAATTTCTTTCTATTAATAATCATCATGAGATATTCCCATGCAAGTGTGCATAATACATTATGAAGAGTTGCTTCAGAGAAGCAGATCCAAGTTTTAAAAAACTAATTCCTATTGTTCTGAAATATAAAATAATGGTCATTTATGCTCCTGTGATTTTTATCATTTAAAGAATTATAACTTATAACGTTGTTCCTTAACAGAGTAGGTCACTGACTTCAATGTGGGCTTAAATACACTTGGATTTAATAACAACACTTGCTGTTTCAATTACAACCATGCCCTTTTTTTTAAACTTCTCCAATTTATTTCATGTTATACTTGTTTCAGGGCAGCTAGTGCCATAGGCATAGAGTACTGGGCCTAGAGTCAGGAAGACGCGTCTTACTGAGTTCAAATCTGACCTCAGACACTTACTAGCTGTGTGATCCTGGGAAAGTCACTTAACCTTGTTTGCCTCAATTTTCTCATCTGTAAAATGAGCTGCAGATCTCTGGCAAGAAAACCACAAATGGGACCACAAAGAGTTGGACACAATTGAAACAACTGAACATTTGTTCCAGCAGATGAGAAGCAAATTTACTTGGCAGTGACAGTCCAGCTTTGAACAAACATGGAACTGGTCTGAGAGGAATACCTTTAGAGATCTTAATATCATAAAACTGGACAGGACCTTCAAGGTCATACATCAACCAAGTCTTAATACATACTATGTGCCAGGCACTTGTCTAACTCCTCATTTTATAAATGAAGAAACCAAAGCTCACCAAGGTTGAGTGACTTGTCCCAGCTCTTGCAGATATAAACAGCATCTATATATGAACTCAGTTGCTGATGTTCAGAACTCAGCTCTCTGGCACCTTGCTGCCTCTATCTGGGTAGGGTATAAAAATGCAGGGCTAGACAGTGTCTTTTTCTAAGCATTTGTACATTGAAATTAGGCTTAATTTTATCCCAATCTAGGGAAGTTGATATTTATGTCTGAATCTCTTTGAAGTGGGATAGTGTAATTTAAAAGTAATGTGTGGAGTTTATATTTGTGTTTGTGTAACTATGCTGTCAAAAATCAGTCAATAGAGCGCCATGAATTACTGACTAATGACTCATGGAATGAACTGAGAAAGTTGCTCTCAGGTTTCATACCATTAATTTATAATTGCAGTAACAAAATGGGCAGCTAGGTGGCGCAGTGGATAGAGCTACAGGCCTGGAGTCCGGAAGACTCATCTTCCTGAGTTCAAATGTGGCTTCAGATACTTACTAGCCGTGTGACCCTGGACAAGTCACTTAACCCGGTTTGCCTCAGTTTCCTCATCTGTAAAATAAGCTGGAGAAGGAAATGACAAACTCTTCAAAGATCTTTGCCAAGAAAACCCCAACTGGGGTCATGAAGAATCAGACATGACTGAAACAGCAAAATAGTCAGTAAGATATCACAGGTTAGTTCCAGGTCATCACAAGGTTGACATTTTACAACTTGGTATTTTATAACTTCTTTCTTTTTTTTTCTTTTTTTTAAGGCAATTGCAGGTAAGTGACTTGCCCAGGGTCACACATCTAGTAAGTGTCAAGTGTTTGGTCTGAGGCTGGATTTGAACTCTGGTCCTCCTGACTTCAGGGCCAGTGCTATATCTACTGTGCCACCTAGCTGCCCCTTTTTATAACTTATTTCAAAAAAAACAATTTTAGTCTACTTCTGGTGGTAAAAAGCACTTAAGATAACAACAATCAAAAAAAGATTTAACAATTTAGTTCAACAAATACTTATGAAATGTCTACTAAGGGCAAAGGCCCTGGGGATTTTTTTTTAAAGAGGGCTAAAACTGAAAGTCCATATATTTGGGGAGATTGAGTTCCATCTTAGCTCCAAAGTGACTTGGATATTTTTTATTTTCTCCAAGAGAGTAAACTTTTTACATATATAGTTGAAGGAGGTTTTTATAAGAGCTTAATGTGCATAAGTGTCTGTGAAAATTAAGAATTTTCATGAGGAAAACCATCTTTCATCTTTAGTGATGAAAACTAATTGTAGTTTCAGTTCAAGTTCTGGTTTTCATCTTTACTCTTAATTCAAAGTGTTAGTGGGAGTTATATTAACACTTTTATTCATGCATTGGCATTTTTCTAAGGAACTTCCAATTTACACATTTACATAATTAGGATCATTAGCACTGGGAAGTGACCTCAGAAATCATCTAATCCAACCCTCTCATTTTACAAATGAAGAAAAGGAGACCCTAGGGAGATAAGGTCCAAGATCACCCAAGGAGAAATTGGTGAGTTGGGATTCTGTCCCAGGTCCTTGGACTTCAAAGCCAATGCTTTTATTAGTCACTGAGAAGAAAAGCAAAAAAAAAAAACAAAAAAGAAACAAAGAAACCTGCTTATTTTCCCCCATAATATGAATAAGATGTGGATATTTGGAAACTGAGTATACTTTGTATGCAATGTTAGTTTTCTAAGACTAACTAAATTAGAAAAAATAAATTTGCTACAAAGTTTGGAGGGAGAGAGGAGGAAAAGGATACACAAGGAATTAACAAAGATATAAAAAATAAATGGACTCAATAACTAATAAAAACCCTATTAAAATAAAAGGGCATCTAATAATTGCCACTTAGGGAACGATAAATAACAAATATGTAAGTTTTGCTCTCGAATAAAGTTATCGTAGGTACCCTGGCTTAAGTACAACTGTATTCCACACTGCAATAGGGCCAAATGTTCCTCCCATGTCTTGTAACCTCAGTTCCACAGGTGTAAGTCTCATCAAGCATTGCACAGAAAACATTCCAGGAACACCCACTAATTTGGAAATTCTTCAGGCAGTGTGTAGTTTGTGGCTTTCTGCTTCAACACTGTTAGGCTGGAGCCTAAACCCTAATAAGGGATGAGAAACACCACAGAATGGGTACAATAGATTACTTCATCTGCTCCTTAAGGGTTATGTTTAGCATGAGAGATGCCAGGAATGTACTTGGGTCGGTAACTGTGGGAAGAAAGGAGGCTGAGGCTGAATTGGTCAGGCAGGGCAGGGGCAGAGCTGAGCTTTGAGCGTCCCGAGGCTGGGCTCTGTTTTGCTCCTGGAAATGAGAATATTTTTAAGAGGGTGGGCTGAATTTGGGATGGAGGCTGAGCTTGGGAAAAGGGCATTTTGATCAGCAGGGAATAATTCTACGCCATAAAATCTCAGGAGAGTAGAATTTATGAAGCTTCTTGGAGTAATAGAACATCCATAGCTTTTGGAGTTCAAAGAACCAGGGTTCAAATTCTACCTTTTAGGCCAATCCATTATTTTCTGGTGCTCAGTTTCCCGTTCTGTAAAAATAAGGGTATGAGTAGATAATCACTAAGGTACCTTTGAGCTGGTGAGATGAGGGCAGAAGGATGCATTAGGGCAGGATCCCCACCCCTGCATTAGGGCATACCCCGTAGGAAATGGCGGAGGGAGTTGTGGAGTTTCATGGATGTGCTATGTTAACACCATACCTATAATTTCAGTGGGAGCATTTACACCTCAGAAAATCTGCAAGCAATCTCTACAGATCACGGTTTAATGTAGCATTTTGTTGATTGTGTTGGTAACACTGTGGACAGAGCATGGGCCAAGCTTCAGGAAGGCTGGAGTTCAAATCTAAGTCTCAGACACTTACTAGCTGTGTTACCCTAGGCAAGTCAGTTGACCTCTGTTTGCTTCAGTTTCCTCAACTGTCAAATGGGGATAATAACAGCATCTATCTCCCAGAGTTGTGAGGATCCAATGAGATAATCACTGCAATGCACCTGGCATAGTGCTTGGCACATAGCTGGTGCTATAGTATTATTAATTATTATCAAGAAAGTATTAATAATGCAGATTAAACTTAAAAGTGTGTCCATACCTTGTCTTATACCAGCACGCCCCTATATTGCTATAAACACTGTATGAGAAAAATGTTTTCCACCTCCAGAGAGAGAACTGATGAACTCTGAGTGCAGAATGAAGTATACTTTTTTAATTTTATTTTTCTTGCCTTTTTTTATTTTTTGCAATATGACTAATATGGAAATATGTTTTGCATGACTTCACCGGATATCATGGTGCTTTCCTTCTCAACGGGTGGGGAGTGGAGAGGAGGAAGAGAATTTGGAACTCAAATTTTAAAAAAATGAATGTTAAAAATCAATAATTTTTTTTAATTGAGCTCAGGAGTGCATTAGAAGACTCAGGAATGAAGTCATCACCTGGTTACTGGAGACTAACGACAATCATGACAATAAATTAGTAACAACAACCACAACTGTCATTTGTATGCAGTGCTTCAGGGCTGGCTTCCATTATTGCATTTCGGCCACATAACCCCCCTGAGGGTGGGTGCCCAACTCCTAATTAAACCCTAATTAAATAGCTCTGATGGATACAGCGCTCCCAGGTGTGCAAAGGGCTTGACTGACCTGGTGGGAACTGGTTTGCGCTTCAGAACAACCCTGGGAGGTAGGCGGTATTTCTTTCGCCCATTTTACAGATGTGGGCACTGGGGTCCGGAGGGGGTCACCGTCTTGCACGGAGTCACAGCTGTCACGCGGCGGTGGTGGAGTTCGAACTCGCGGCGCTGCGCGCCCCAGAGTGACAAACCTGAAGCTCTCAGAGGGTCTGGGCTGGGAAACTCCCGCGTGAATGAAGGGAGAGGAGGAGGAGGAGGGGGAGGGGGAGAATGCGGAGAATGCACGCCCGGCTATCTACGCGCCCCGCCCCCGGGGTAATGTTTACGAAAAAGACGTGACTTTGCTCCTCCTCCCTCCCGCCCTCTTCTCCGTCTCCTCCAATCAGAACACAGCCTCGCTTCCGGGCCCTGGAGCGGTCGCTATGACAACCGACGCCAGGCTCCGCGCCCCAGCTACACGCCCCCTGCTCGGCCAGGACGCAAATGGCTGAGTCCGAGAGAGCCGAGCCTCTCGGGGCGCAAATGGATGAGCCCAAGAGCGCCGAGCTACCACAGGTGGAGACGTGGGACCCACTGCCTTCGGTGGAGCGATGGAAGAAGTTCCACGTCCAACCCACAGAGGAACAGCTGGAATACTTCGATTTCGACCCTCGGTAACTAGGGGCTCCTGAGCGCCCCACGGCAGACGCCTTGCCTGTAAACTTAACTTCGGGCTTTGGGAGGCGCTCCCAGTCCGGGCCTTGACCTTCGCCCGAAATGCATCTCAGGAACACCTTAGACCTCACAGGCCCCAGCCTTGCTGCCTCCCTGTGGTCCAGGAACGTGCCTCCACACGCTCCTCCATCCTCCGTCCTCCATCCCTGCCCCTCCCAGATTTCATCGGCTTGGTACACTCACACCTGCAAGGGACCGTCAGAGGTCACCACGTCCAACCCCCTCCTATTACCGATGAGGAAACTAAGGCCAGAGGGACAAGGTCACACAGTGTCAGAGACCAGACTTGAACCGAGGGTCCCTGATTGCAAAGACGATCTTGATTTCTACCATCTCGAATTCTATAACCTTTGGTATCCTCGACTCCCCCAAACTCATGACCAAGAACAGACAGCTCCAGGTGGACCGAGGACAGAATTAGTCTAGGTGCTCTAGGCAGAGATTGTTAAACCTTATTTGTGTTATAGAACCCTTCGGCTGCCTGGTGAAACTTACGGACGTCTTCTCTGAATAATGTTTTTAAACGAATAAAATAAAATACATAGGATTACAATGGAACCCAATTATGTTGAAATACAGTTATCAAAATACTTAAAAAGACAAGTTCACTGGCAATCAGATTAAGAACCCTTGCTCTAGAGAAAGGCTGTCAGTCCATATCTGCTCACTAATGACCTTTTCTAAAGCTAGAACCTCTTGATTCTATTAATGGGAAGATGAAACTTTGAAAAATATTTTATTGATAAAAAAAATCGTTTGTTTTTACATCATCTTCATTTCTAACTACATCTCTTCCTTCTATCCCTATCCAAAACCTTGTAACTAAGATTAAAAAAGAAAAATTTAAAAAGCAATTGGGCAAGCCAGAGCACATATTAACTTCATACATGAAGGATAAAACACTCTTAATGCAAGATAGTAGAAGACAGAGTGGTGTAGTGGAGGAAACAATGACAAACCCCAAAAAAGTTAGCCCTGGAGTCAGGATCAGAAATTTAGAGTTGGAAGGAACCTCAAAGGTTATCATTTTACAGATGATGAAACTGAGTCTAAGAAAGGTTGTGATTTGCCCAAGGGGGACCTGGTGAAAAGTAGCAGAGTATTTGGACCAGGTCCTCTGACTTTAAATCTGTTGTTCTTACAGCTAGACCAAGAGCCCTCCTAATCTGGGTTTCAAATTTCAGCTCTGCTATTTATACCACTGTAAACTTAAGGAAATGGTTTAAACTCTATGGGACTCAGTTTCCTCATCTAGTTAAAAGGAAAGATGGTACCAGATGGTATCAATAATTTATTTCAGCTTTACATTTGTTATCCTAACAAGCAAAAGAACAAAGATGCTTGAAATGGCGATGAACCAATAATCTCTCACTTTCTTATGATTCACAAGGCCAGTTTAAAATATCCTACAGAGAAACTGACTAATTCACGGCAGACAAATGCCCTCTTTATCCAACACACACTTTTTCACACTTAGAAAAACACTTACTGTGGACAGATAAAACTTGCATCTTAACTAGTTGTAATCTTTGAAGATTCCGGTGGCCATTTTTTAAATAGCATGTGGACATTGGCCAAAATACAAGTTTGGTAAAATTTCATAATGTTAAACACGTTAGAAAAAAATTTGCCAACACCCCTCATTAAGAAAACAAAAAACAAAAAACAAAAAACATCCACCAACAAGACTACAGCTCCCTATAGTCACTAAACCTAAATGTCTATGGCAAATCCTATTTATCGACATAGAACCATATCCTAATTGGTGGAATGAATTGTGTATATCACAACTTTTAAAAATGACCTTTTTTTTTTTTAAAGGCAGGACAAATACTCAGGAACTTTCCCATCCCTTGCTCACCTTTTCACCCACCCTACTCCCATTTGACCCCCTAAGAAATGATAGAGCCAATGGAAGAGCCATGATTAGGTGTCCATTGCTTTTTGGTTCCAGGAGTTGTTTATTGTCTCTACCTATGAGCTAGGAATCCAAAAGTCCAAGAATTGTGTGAGTGCATCCAGGGATGTGAATTTGAACAGAAAGCAACAGCTCAGTGTTGAATAAAAGATCCAGACTGAAATCACTGTAGGCTATGAGGGCTCGGAGAAGTACCGTGACAGTCTGGCACCATAGTCATGGGGCTGCAGCTCCTCCACAGAGAAAGGGGTATAGATGCAAGTTCTGATCAAGAGGATTGAAAATCTAACTTTATTAATAAGGGAAGACATTCAGGACAACTAGGTCATGCAGTGGATAGAGTGCCAGACCTGGAGTTAGGATGACCTAAATTCAAATATGGTCTTAGATACTTACTAGCTGTGTGACCCTGGGCAAGTCACTTAACCCTGTTTCCCTCAGTTTTCTCATCTGTAAAATGAGCTGGAGAAGGAAATGGCAAACCACTCCAGCAACTTTGCCAAGAAAGCCCTAAAATCACAAAGAGTTGGACACAATTGAACAACAATAGACATTTTAACTGCCTGGTAAATTTGCTTCTAACAAATTGTGGCAAGGTATGGGGGAGGAGAGGGAAATGGGAAAGGATACCCGCAAATCTTTATGTTTGTCAAACACAAGATTACTATAATCATTTAATACTGTGTATTGTATGTCTACTCTGTCCCACTGAACTACCTTTCTATTTTCTTAGCCAGTACCAGATAATTTTGATAATTACTGCCTACAATATAGTTTAAGATCTGGTACTGATAAACCTTCCTTTACATTTTTAAAATGAATTCCTTTGATATTCTTGACCTTTGTTCTTCCAAATGAATTTCATTGTTATTTTTTCTAGCTCAAGTAAATACTTTTTTGGTAAATTACTTGGGGTAGCATTGAATAAGTAGATTAATTTAGGTAAAATTGTAATTTTTATTATATTGGCTCTGCCCAGTGATGAACAATTAATATTTCTCCAATTATTCAAATCTGATGTTATTTGTATAAAAAATGTTTTAAAATTATGTTCATGTAGTTCCTGGGTTTGTCTTGGCAGGTATACTCCCAGATATTTTATATTGTCTAGAGTTATTTTAAATGGGCTGTCTCTTTCTATCTCTTCTTGCAGGGCTTTATTGGTGATATATAGAAATGCTGATGATTTATGTGGGTTTAGTTTATATCCTGTTACTTTGCTAAAATTAATTGTTTCAGCTAATTTTTTGGTTGAATCTCTAGGATTTTCCAAGTATATCATCATATCATCTGCAAAAAGAGATAGTTTTATTACCTCTTTGCCCATTCTGATTCCTTCAATTTCTTTTTTCTTTCCTTATTACTACTGCTAGCATTTCTAATATAATATTGAATAATATTGGTGACAATGGGCATCCTCATTTCACTCCTGATCTTGTTTGGAAGATTTCAAGCTTATACCCATTAAAAATAATGCCTGCTAATGGTTTTAGGTAGATGCATCTTATCATTTTAAGAAACAATCCACTTCTACCTATGCTTTCAAGTGTTTTTAATAGGATTTAGTATTGTATTTTGTCAAAAGCTTTTTCTGAATCTATTGATATAATAATACGATTTTTGTTACTTTTGTTCTGAATATAATCAGTGATGTTAATAGTTTTCTTTATGTTAAACCATCCCTGCATTCCTGATATAAATCTCACTTGGTTAAAATGTATAATCTTTGTGATATATTGTTGTTGTCTCCTAGCTAGTATTTTATTTAGGATTTTTGCATCCCTATTCATTAATGAAATTGGCATATAATCTTCTTTCTCTATTTTTGCTCTTCCTGGTTTAGATATCAACACCATATAAGTTTCATAAAAGGAGTTTGGTGGGACTCCTTCTTTGCCTATTAATCCAAATAATTTAGTGCTAGAATTAGTTGATCTTTAATTGTTTGGTTGAATTTTCTTATAAATGCATCTAGTCCTGATGCTTTTTTCTTAGGAAGCTCATTTGTGGCCTGTTCAATTTCTTTTTCTAAAATAGGTTTATTTAGATATTCTATTTCCTTTTCTGTTAATCTAGGCAGTTTATATTTTTGTATTTTTCCATTTCACTTAAATTATTAAATTTATTGGCATATAATTGGGCAGAGTAACTCCTTATAATTGCTTTGATTTTATCTTCATTAGTGGCATTTTTTTAATCATTTTTGATACTAGTGATTTGATTTTTTTCTCTGTTTTTTTGAACATCATATTAACCAATGATTTATCTATTTTATTTTTTTTTATAAAACCAACTCCTACTTTTATTCATCAATTCAATAGTTTTCTTATATTCAATTTTATTAATCTTCCCTTTAATTTTTAAGGTTTCCAATTTGATGTTTAATTGGAGATTTTTTATTTGTTCTTTTTCTAGGTATTTTTTTTTTAAATTGTATACCCAATTCATTGGTTTGCTTGTTCTCTGCTTTATTGATATAAGCATTTAGAGATATAAATTTTCCTCTGATTACTACTTTTGCTGCATTCCATAGGTTTTGGTATATTGCCATTCTTTTTAATGAAATTATTGATTGTTTCTCTGATTTGTTCTTTAACACATTCATTCTTTAAGATTAGGTTTAGTGTCCAATTAATTTTTTAATCTGTGTTTCCATGGTGCCTTGTTAAATATAATTTTTATTGTATTGTGATCTGAAAAGGATCCATTTAATATTTCTGCTTTTCTGCATTTAACTATAAAGTTTTTATGTCCAGATATGTTGTCAATTTTTCTAAAAGTATCATGTATCACTGAGAAAAAAGGTATATTCCTTTCTATTCCCATTCAATTCTCTCCAGATAACTATTGTATCTAGCTTATTCTATTAATCTCCTTGCCTTCTTTCTTATTTATTTATTTTTGTTAGATTTATCTAGTTCTGAGAGGGGGAGGTTGAAGTCCCCCACCCCATTATAGTTTACTATCTATTTCAAACTGTAATTCATTTAGCTTTTCCTTTAAAAATGTGGATGCAATTGG